TACTGGTGTGTTCATTGTCTCTGGATCTAAAAGAACTAAAAGAACCGCTTGTCTTGCACCCGGCCAGTGCTTTGACAATTGGCAAAACACCAAGTTGTCTATCAGACTATTTTGTATTGGTTGTGTTCTGATAAGACACAACCTGAAATGTTTAAACATACTTTTAGAAAGGCACTTGAAATGCTTAGAGTATTTCAACCATAGAAAACAATGAGAACTCAGAAGAATCTCTAATGTCCTTATTCTTCACACCAGGGCCACAAAAATGGATGCAATGATAGTCTACATTGACTGGTACCTGGAGCCCATCCTATTAAAAAAAAAAAAGGCCACAGTTTTTAAAACTTTTTTTTTTTAAATATTCCCGTAGAAAATAATGGGGCATTGCTGGGGGGAAAAAAACAGAAAAAAATATTTAGTTAATTTAGGTTCTGTTATCGGAAAAGTCCTGGAATTTTTACTTCAACAGATAAGTCTTTTCATTTTTAAAAAAAAAAAAATCCAGAAGCAGTGGCTTGCACATCAAACTGAGATCATGCCAGAATGATGATACACACGCAACAATGTCATCATGCAAATGCTACAACTTATCTACTTGCATCAGACATCAAGACACAAGTATGCAAGGGCAGTAGTTGCATGATGACATCACCACATATACAATATGTTATCATTTTGGTGTCCTCACAGCTTGCTGCAGATGCCGCATGCCATTTGCCATCCCTGCTCCCCTGCTCATGTCCATGCCCTAACAGGACAGTCTCAGTCAGCATGCTTTTCAATTTAGAACCTCCCAGTCTGAAGAGGCAGTCAGACAAAAATGAAAAACAAAACAAAACAGATGAATGTAATTATCCCCATGACCAATTTTTCTATAAACTGGGTGGCAGGTAACAGCAAGGATTATTGCTCCACCTAATTATTTATTTAGCAATTAAATATTTTTCACAGCCAGGCTATGGACAAGAATATAAAAGCAACTGTTGCTTTTGCTGTGCTTATTTTTGCTGGCTAAAAAGAAAAGGCTACAAGTGCTTAACTACATGAATAAAATTAACATTTCTATGGGGGAGGAGGAAGTAATATTTTGCCAGGCTCTGTCATCGTTCCAAAAAGTCAGCAAAAACCAATGTAAAGTATCTCAGTATAGTTATAAGAATAGTCTCAGAACAAACCACAGAACAATAGCCCAGTCATTGTACTCAGAACTGCCAAAACATTGTTCAAAACAGCTGTTTTGTTCCCATCTTGGAACAAATGCAAATACTTTTTTTTAGTTCAAACTATTCATGCAATCATATTTGAGGTCCAAATATTTTGAGGTTCAAAAGTTTTGCCCACTCCTAATTATGGCCACTTCTGCTGCCTACTAAACAGAGCTCACAATATATTCACAATTATATTAGAAGGATTAACTGCATTATTATGTAGGGTCTCTCTGCAGAAACATTGTGATGGAACAATTTGAACAGAATGAGGGTGGGGGTGGAATTATTGAAATGGTCCAAATATCAGTAGGAGTGTTGCCATCTCTTTCCCATGGGAATAGATAAAAACTAATGGGAAATGAAGGAAAAGTTCTTTCTGCTGGCTAGTACAAGCCTAAATCTCCATGCTTTATATGACTTATTATTAATGCAGCAGTTTAGAAAGCATCATCCCACCTTTGCAACCAGAAAAGCTTCAAGTTAACCAAATGCATCTGGATATATAAAACTATGCCTGGATGTTGACTGGTAGGTGTGATGTAGGATATACCCTAAAGAACATTAATTAAAAGTAAGTTTAAAAGAAGCAAGTATTTTATATAGAATGTTTTACATCCAAAACAAATGAGAGAGGCCATTCGAACTTGGTGTAATCTTAGAATTTAGCATATCTCAGATATAATTGTGTCAGAGTTTCAAAATAAATGGATTGTATGTTATAAGTTAACCTATGCTTTGCACATTGCTCTAGGTCTGCAAATGTTTTTACAGAGCACTGGCTTAGAGGAATGTACTTCGGTTGTGAAATGTTGAAAAATCTATTCATGTTAACCAATAACTGGCTTTGCTTTTATGTGAGCCAGTGCTGATGTGTGAAAATAATTGGACAGATTAAATACTGACTTCAGTGGACTTCCTACCCATTATTCACAGTAAATTAACAGACACAGTAAAAGAGAGAAAAGAATAGCCAGATAGCTTCGTGTTATTTTATAAATTAATAGACCAACTTAGAAAGAACTCACCAGAAATTACCATCTTTCAGTAGAAATTGTTATATGAAAAAAGATTTGGAAAATCTGTGACTTTCCACATTCCTGTATTAAAAATTATCTCATAATGAAAACACATAATTAAAAGAGAGATCAAAATATTTATCTACATAGAGATGATACATGCCATGATAGCATTAAATCAGATGTTTACAGTTTAACAGATCTAATTATGTTATTTTAACAGTTCTCTTCAAAATCTCATCCCCAACATATCCCCTTTCTTTACATCCTTGCCAATATAAAGATCCTTGGAAATCTGTGCTAATTTTACTGGAGAAGTACACTCCAGTATGACTTATTTTCAGATTGATGTATTTTATTTGTATCTAAATTGACTGATGTGACTTGGCAGTCCATGTTTTTACCCAATCCTGTTCGTGTAACTCTGAATCAATCTGTCAATAAATGTTTATTTTGGTCATAAAACAGCATATAACTAATATAACAATTAGGCTAAAATAGAAATAAAAATAAAAAGTCACACTGGTAGAATAAAATAAAGATAAAATTGTTAAGGGAAAATAACAAAGTACAGGTATGAAAATGCAAACGAATTCTATGAAATTGCAATTAATTTTTACAATGAATAATCTAAATGGTATAAAGTAAGCCAAATAGCTATAAAAAGTCATAAGTAATGCTAGAATTTATAAAACACTATGAGAATGTAAGACTATGCTAACTTATATTAAGTCTAATACTTCCTGAAGCCCAGCTAGGGTTTGTTGGAATTAAGACCATTATGGACCATTATGTTCCAGCCAATTATAACAAAGAAACAGAAAAATAAAACATAGAGCGCTATGTGTATATTTAAAAAGAGAAGAGGGGAAGCGGGGAGGGGGAAGAAGGAAAGGAGGGGGGAAAGGAAGAGAAAATATAATGAGTTATGGAACCCTAATTAAGGCTCAGATCACCTCACTTGGAGGAGTTGTTTAGGTTTAATCATAGCTCTAACACAAAACCAAGCTACATTGTCTGAAATCCCTACCACTTGTTCAGCTAGCAAGAGACTAAGGCAATCAGCCTCTGGGCTGCCCAGATGTTGTGTTATACATGGGGAAATATACATTTCTCATAGATTTCTATAAAAAAGGCAGTGAGCCACAGTTTCAATTTCCCTCTCACCACAGGGACAGAGCCACAACTCTTGGTATGTTATAGAACCTTCCTTCCAAGGGAGAGGAGGGGAGGACATTACAGTGAGCAAGAGTGAAAACTCTTCTATGTTTTGGGGGACAACATTGTAGAGCGACACTTTTTTGTGGGTTCACTGAATTAATCTATGGTGGAACTTCTGAATCACAATCAGAGCCCCTATGCAGAGGAGTGAATCATCTTTATCTAATTCTGCATTTCATACATTGTTTAAATTATTATATAATAATACATTATTATATATTTTATAAAAAGTAGACTTAAGTGACAGATCTAGTATTTCTTGTGCATATTTGGTTAATTTTCATTCATTTATTTATTTCACATATTTTTATTTGTGCCAAATTCCAAATAGACTCTTGGCAGCGTACATAAAACAGATACAGACTAAATATCCATGGTAGGAATAAAACAATGCTTAACCCAATAAAAATAAAAAATGTACAACATAAACCACAAATAAAATAAATAAAAATAAAGATGGCAACATTCACATGAGGAGAAAGCTCTCCATAACAAGTCAGTTTTTAAAAGCTCCCCCAAAAATCAACAGATTATCTGATAACTGATGCTAAAACAACCATGATAATCAAGTTAACTGCATTTTTCTTTCCTCTCTTGTATTGAAGTATGAGACTTAGTTTATAAAGCTTCCATAGAAATATTTTATTAATTCTGATTTATTAACAAAATAAATTTTGACCATCTGCATTCATACATATATAATGCTATACCAAGAGCTTTAAACAATACTTTAAATTTGCCTGGTTTACCCAAGATGCTAGCCTATAGCCAGTGCATTCACCTACCGTTCCAACCCAAAAGCAAACCAACCATATTATGGCCCAGTATCATGATGTGAACTCAGCTAAATAATGTTCATACCTGCAATCCCACCAGCCATCCACACTGAAAAGGGAGTGGGAGAAAGACATTCCTCTGGAGTGATCCACACGGAAACAAATGCGTAAGGGATAAAGTAGAGGCAATATCCTGGAACATCCCTCAGAAACATGGCAGTCGAACCTCGATAGAGTCCTGCCAAACCTTCCTGCTGAAGAATTGTGGCAACACAGTGAATTGGACCTCGGTAGGCATTCTGTACTGATACACCAGTTGCCCTGTACTTCATTTCCAGGTTGGCTACAGAGGCAAGCAAAAAGGGATTTCAGTGTCATGTACAAATAATTCCTCAGAGATTTGTTGTGTATATTGGCTTTTTGGGGGTGGGGGTGGGGGGGAGTTGTTTTGATTTCTTCTTTCCTATTGCTTTTCTTCTGCCTAAGAACTATAGAGGCAAAGGCACTCTCATGCCACCACCATTTCCACTCCCGAATACCTGGAAAGCTAGCTACTTAGCTTGCTTGGTTGCTTACTTACAGGACTTATATGGCCACCTATCTCACATAATGATTCTAGGAGGCTCACAACAATCCATAAAAACAAGGATGAAAACATAAGTACCCATCCCCCCAAGGTGCCAGACCAGCCAGCCTCCCTGCTCAACCCCCATCCTAGCCCAATGCTTGGGGAAAGAGCCAGGCCTTCGTGGCCTTCCAGAAGGCTAAAAGGGTAGGGATCCCTTGGATCTCAGGTGGGAGGCTGTTCCAAAGGGCTGGGGTGGCCACCAAATATATAATGAATTGATGGCTAATACCTTCTGTTTTAAGGCCCTTCCTAGCTCTAGGTTCACTAGTTTGGTGCCACCAGAAATCAGACAAAGGAAAATAATCCATTAAAGTCAAACAATCACATTTCATCCTTGCATACCATTGTAAGTGATGTGATATGTTAGATGAAATCAGAAGTTTGCTTGATTTAGAATTGCTTTTAGGTATTTGTTTTTCTTTTGACTACGTTTTGATTATACCCATGCAAGTAGTGATTGATGTGTTTGTTTTTTCCACATCTATTTCTCTCATGCCCTGTTTGACTGCTTTCCAGAGAAAACTGGTTGGTCCCTGTGGAATAAGGATGCTAGACTATTCGGACCCTGGGCACGGACCAGAAGAATTTGTGTTGCACAACACTATTGGTGGCTCAAGCTATATCATTAAAGAAACATGGACATTTTTTAAAAAAAGGTAAACAAAATAAAACCTTGTCTAAAATGATACATGATTTAAATCCAGCATGGAAACATTCATGCTGAATGAACAGCTGTAATTGTATTCCAACTGTGTTTTACGAGGTAAAGATTTGTTTAATAAGATAGTTCTGATGGTTGCTAAAGCTGGTTCTTTCAGAGATAGCTGTGTTATTGCCTAATAGGAATATTCTATGGAATCATCGCTGTCCAGAGCAAAGTAAGGTTGCATCAAAATGATGACACATGAGCGGTAACATCAGGATGCAAGCTCTGCCCTTGCATACTTGTGTCCTGATATTGGACAGAAACATATAAGTTGTGGGTTTGGTGTAATGATGTCATGACACACGTTGCATCACTTCCTTCTCCCCTGCAAACTCCTTAGTATAGAATGCAGTAAAAAAGATAAAGAGAACCCATAATATGAAAGGAACCTCTAATTACTGCTCAAGGGTATACCCAAGAAACAGGAAGATGTGAAATTGCTTATGCTGGTTCTTTCCGTTTAAAATGAGTGCACTGATCAAACACAGTAGACAGACAAAAGTTATGTAAATGTAATTTAATTCAGTTCCATAGTTTAATTTAGGGTAAATTCACAATGAGGGTCCTGAGGATGTACTTCTTGAAAAGCCATTTTTCTCTTAGGAGAAGGGAACTACTTGTGCCTAAGGCTTTTCTTATGGCTGTGTGACTTTCTTTTTTTATTAAAAGTTCAATCTTTGGAATCAGATGCAAAACTTAGAAAGATATTTTAAAAAATCAGAGAATGGCTGCAATATTCACATAGCACAATTGTTGCCAAACATAAAATGATAAAAGATTTGGAAATCCAAATAATATTATAATATAATATAATATAATATAATATAATATAATATAATATAATATAATATAGTATAATAAATATGTTAAAAAGCATAGGTACATTCTAGACTTACCTGTAAGTAAAGTTTGTGTCTGCATCTGCAGCCTTATTTTTACTAGCTCAACTGGGCTACCAATTCCTACTGAGAAAGCCCCAGTTGCCATGCTTGCTAAAGTTAAATCTATGAGTACAGGAGGATGGTTAGATTTCCCATAGCGATGTTGGCAAATGAACCTTTGGGTACTGCTGAAGACACCAAATACCACTGCATTATAGACAGCAATGCTGATTAGTGGGAAAGACATTCCCTTAAAAAACCCAGCAACCTGCAAGAAAAATAAAATAGGATGTAAATAAGAGCCCACTGGAGTTGGGTGGCCAGTAAATTTAAATGAATAAATAAATAACATTTGTTTCATTGCCCCTTTAAGAATGTGTCCAAATGACAGCTTTTTAATAGATTTTTATTCTTGCTGGAAAAGTATTCCATTCAGGACATCGCTTTATATTTTTAGCTTTTAAAAATCTTATCAGTATCTCCATTAAGATTTTAAATTAGCAAATTAGAGGAGGCTGTGAAGGGCACAGATTATATAAAATCTAAGAATTGAACATTGCTAATGATAGATGTTAGATGACTCTTGCAGTTAATGCACTTTGAAAATGAAAAGAACGGATTAATTTCAGTTCTTCCCACATCTGAAACAGATAGAGTTGGTATATGTTAAAATGAAAAAAATACTTTAATAAGTATTAAAGTAATAGTTAGGCATGACATGTTTTTCTGAAGGTAAATGTCTAGAAAGATTTTGAAAGGATTGAGAACTGATAGAACCATAGCACTGAGTTGGTTTCTATGTGTAGCAGAAATGATGAAACAGGTAACGTATGAGTGTTGAATAAGAAATTCTGGTCTGGTCTGGTCTGCTCCATTGTCAACAGGCTGGACTTAATGGGAGCAAAGAGTGTATGGAAAATTGGCCAAGTATGGAAAATTGTAATGAGAGAATTTAACATGAGCTGCATATGGGAACAACATAGAGGATATAGGAAACAGATTTCTTGGATTCTAGTAAAAGCAGGACTCCAAATGGAAGTAACCCCATCAGATGGCTGTCTAGCCTCTACTTGAACTCATAAAATGAAGACATTAACATAATAGGTATATTGTGTGATATTTCCAAGCTGGAAAGGAAAATGTTTAATGAATGTTCATGATTTGATAGCAAGAAGACAAATTTGTATATTTAACTATTAAACTAATGGGTGTGTGGAGAATACCCTCTGTGGAAAGCTTGACCATGTTTTATATATTCAAGAGATTGTTAAGGGTTGCTGATATAGCTACCTTCAAATATCTGAAGCAAAAACTCATGGATAATGGAATAAATTTATTTACTCCTCCAAAAGGAAGGACTTAAGACAAGACATTCAATTGAGAAGAAAGGGGAATTCAGCTAAAGTTTAGAAAGAGTCATTCCAACAGTCTCAACTATTTATGGTAGGAAGACTGCCTCAGAAAATGATGAAGATCTTTGGGATGCTTTTCAGCTGTACAATAGCTTATGATTCTTTGATTCTAAGAGTCTTGCTCTAAAATACTAATTACCCAATAATGAGGAAATTTTAGGGGCCTTCTGGATATGACATTATTTCACACGCACACACTGCTGTCGCTAATATCTTTGATTGTGTGGATTCTAGCTTCCTTCTGCTTCAGTTGCATGATTTGGCCAAAACTGCATAACTAAAGCAAGAGAAAGCTAAAACTGGCAAGACTGCTTGCACCCACTGGCCGTGACATGAGGAGGGGATACATCATATTCCCTTGATTAGATCTACACTCCTCTCTGGGAGACCCCACAGTCTGCATTGCAGAGTGCAAACCAGTGTACTGCAGTGGGTAAGAATGTCAGAAGACAACTGAGAAAACACTTTGTTCAAAATCCCACTCATCCATAAACCAGTCATAATCTCTCACACAGTTGTAATGAAAGGATTGATTGATTGATTGATTGACTTACTATATTTCTATACCACCACAGAATACTCATGGAGTTAGAATACATAGTGAAACTATATGAGTTTCCTAGACAAGAAGGAGCAAGCAAATGTTAAAAATACTAATGAATAAAGAGGCACACTGTATTTTGCTCCTTCATGTATTCCTGGCATTCAAAGGGTTGCTTGTCTTACTTCACATGAAATCCTAATGGATGCAAACGAAGTGTGGTATAAATGCCCTACATCAATATACTTTCAAGTCCACATTATGTATGACAGGGTTTTTTTTGGGGGGGGGGAGGAAGAATGCTGTCAAAATAATACAAAAAACTGAACTTTATTCAGTTCTTCAGAATTCTTCATAGATTTACCTAGATCACACTTTTCATCACAAAGGTTTTGAAGGCATAAATGTTTTGCTTGATGGACAATATTCAAGCAAAATAGCAAAACAGAAGTCAAATTTGAGTGTTTTTCCTGCATGGTCTGAACACTGATGTGTCATCAGTATATAAATTTGTTGGGAAAATATTAATAGGTGAAGTCTTTCTTCCATTGATATAGAGAGTAGTACAGATGATATTAACTCATGACATAGAATTTTAGCTGAAGCTTTCTCTGAATTCCCCTGATAGAGTCAAACAATTTTGAAATCGCAGCACTGATCAGTTAAACTTCCCCATCTCTCTTTGTACAAGCGATAGTGATTTAAAATAATCTCATTCCCAGTTGAAGATTCTTTGTCTGGAAACTGGGTTTATAAATTAACACACATCAAAATCTTCCCTTGTTCTCTGTACAGGTATGTTTCAGACACAAGAACATACTTACAGCTTCATTTTTGTATACAGTGCGGACACAGTTAAATGTGCTTCCATAACCCTGCCCAGCTTGTAAGCGAGTCTGCAGAAGAATACAATTATGAATTTCAATTAATGAGAGCTTGTATTTAACAAACAAGGCACATTTGTATTTTACTCTAATTTGTGCTTTGTACCAAAAGGGGAGAAAACAAGGAAATGAAAGTAAAATGTACATTCTATCAAGTGTCTGCCAGTAGAAAAACTGTACTATAGTACAGTATCTTAACCTTCACTGTCAGCATACTCTGCAAATGATAGTCTGAAACTCTATCTAGGTAGTCATCCTAGAGAATTATTCATGCTCTATGTACATTGCCATCATCAGATAGATAATCTGTATTCTAATCCACTCTTAAAATTCATTTGAGAAAAAAAATCAATTATTTATTATAAAAATCAGTTTATCTAATAAGGTCAAGACATGATGTAGGATTCTAGAATTTATAAAAGCCCAACTAAAAATCATTCTGTGATGTCTGCTTCAGGCAACATATATATTCTCAGCTATATAAATGCAAACTATGATTGCTACTATAGGAGGTGGTTTATATTGAACAACTGAACTAGATCACTGGTTTCTTCATCCCAGTATTTTTTATTGTGATTATCAGGGGTTCTGTAGTTATGCCTTTCATGAGTCTTTCCCAGCCATAATCCAAGACTGAACCTGCAACTTTTTGTAGGCAAATCTTGTGCTCCACTGTTGAGTTATGCTGATGGCCAAGAGCTCTAACAAAAGAGGCATGCTAAAGCCCTGTGCCAAATTTAGTGCTATTTAATGTATTGATTCATGGTTTGAAAGGAAGAATAGAACACACTTCTAAACAGCACATTCCAAAACTGAACAGGAATAATTGCCTTACTTGCGCAGAAAATAAAAAGTGCCCTCACACAAAAGGAAAAGATAAGAATCAAATGGCGCTGAGTGGGGTACATTATCAAAAGAAATACAAGGTGGTTTTGAGAAATCTACCTGCCATTCTTTCATCATTGCTTTAGTATGCTACAGCTCATGGCTTGAATTGGTAATATGCTTGAATGCCATGTTTGGCTTTATTTGTAACACTAAGAAATATTTAACATTAGTACAATCCTAATTTAAGGATGAAATGATGAAAATGAAAAGAACATAGTCAGTGGGGTGTGAAAATGAAGACGGTGTCAGGTGGAAGCTTATAAAGCCAGCATAAATGGTGGGAGAAAATCTATTTTGCCTAGCTGACTGATAAGGTATAAAGTTATATCACAGCTACAAGCAACAGGAGGCTTCTTAACCACAAGAATGACATAAAAATCTTGAAGCACTTCCAGTTTGATCTTTCAACCCAATAATAAAATGCAGTGAGTCCTACTAATCAGATTACACCACAGCTGGCACTCTTGCAAATGTGCATTGCCCTTATTCCTTTTGTCAGATGCAGAATAACAATAATGATGATAAGTGGTCTGTGCTCTCCTTGGTGGAGAGTCCAGCTTCCCAAGTCCCAGCTTCCCATGGTGCAGTGGTTGGAAAGTGCTTAAAGGAAGTACTCCTGGCATGTCAGCATCGGGTACTGCCCAGAAGACGAAGGAACACCACTCAGCAATCAGAATGCCACCACAATATTTTGTTTCCTTTTTCTTAATGCAGAGAGGACTGGCAGGCATCAAAGTGTCTGTCTCACAGCATCCCGGTGCAGTATTAGGGACAACTCACAATAATATTGCCTGAAATTGAAACTGGAAAGGTTTGTGGACAGAGGTTTCATTATCAGAATGTTTGCCCGGTCTCTGAAGTCAGGAATCATTTAGTCTGAGACATTCTGAAAACAAGTTCCTTATTCTGAGTGGCAAATAATTGAAAGTTAAGGTTGGGCCTTTGAATGAGTGCAAAATTGGCTATTTTAGAAAAGTTTGATTAAGAATAGGAGACCCAGTTCAAGTTCCTATTCAGCCATAAAGCTCCTTTGGTGAGTTTGGGCTCATCACCAACTCTCAGCCTAATTTATCTTAGAGAATTATTGTGAGAATAAAAAGGAGGCCTATGTATCTTAGACTCCTTGGATAAATTGTGGGAAAGAAAGAAAGAATTGTTTTCTCAGCAAAATCACTTCCCCGTTGCAAAGCCTGTAAACTTCTACCCCTCCCTCTACAGATAGATCACTGTATCAATGTGACTTGTAGAAAAGTGTCATGTAGGCTTGACAGTTGGGAGGGCTAACCTAGTGGATGTGCATTTCACTGGATTTAGAATAAATACCTATACTGAGGTGTATCAAAATACTGATCAAAATACACATTTTGGACCTAGATGGGAGCTATTCTGATAAACAAATTTGATATGAACTTACTGAATTCCCTGGAAGAAGTAGATGATTGAGAGAGAGAGCGAGAGAGAGAGAGAGGGAGGGAGGGAGGGAGGGAAGGAGGGAGGGAGATTAAAGTATAAGTAGTAAAAATGGATATCTTCCTGGGCCTTATCAAGAAACACTACCATGTCTTTATGGAGGGAAAATCCAGTAATAAGTCTTATTAGCAGGAGGCCAGTAGTGATAAGAAAAATGTACTAAGCAGCTGATCAGCTCCAGATACTGGGGAGCTACAAAGCAAGATGTTGGTGTCTCCTTTTGTCTCCGCTCTGTTTGTTGCCCTATCCCTGAACCCCCAACTTGCATTATAAAAGAGAATGTATGTGGGCAATGCCTTCTAGCCTTTCTTGCTGTTCAGATATATGAAAGAGACAAGCAAGCAGGAAACTTCAGCAACAAAAGAGGAGAAACAGAGCCAAGGGGCTTTGCAGCTCAGAGTGGGTGGTCTGGGTTTAGGCCTTGGCAGATACTGGCACTAACTCAACTAATTAGTGATCAGGGTTATTTGTACACTGCTGCCTTTATAATGATACAATATTGGAAAACGTAAACTCGCACCCCCCCCTTTTTTTTTTGGTGGGAGAAGAATATTTCACAGAAAGTCTGTATAGGATATTCGCAGATGACCTATAAGAAATTTAAACATTAACTACTGCACTGAGGGCTATGTCAAAAAAAAAAAGCAGTACATGTGGATTTTTTTTAAGAAGCAGATTTGTTATTCCTAAAATCAACAGCACAGTACTGTGAAAGCAGAACACCCCACTCACTCATCCACCTTCAAAATCAAACTAATATAGCAATGTTGAAACCCAGATTATACTTAAACTGCTTTCCAAATTCCTCTTATTCACTGGCCATCATGTTATTTTCTTGTTTATTGGCATCTGGCACATTTCTAACTGGGCTCAAAGTTTTGCAAAGAGTCAAAGTACTCACTTCGAGCATAGTCTATATGCCTTATTTGTTGATTTGAAGAGACTTGCTGTACTAGAACATAATCCACATTCAAATACACTGAGCTATTCAGCACGGCTCTCCACTCTCATTCCCTTATCCTCAGGATGCACCTTTGCTACTTCATCAGTAAATACTGAATTGCTCTATGACTCCACTTCTTAATTCACCATTTAAGATCTTTTCCTTTCCCTCGCTGATTTGGAAATGTAACAAAGCTGCATCAAGATCCAATAGTAGAGAAGGGGCCAGCTTGACAGTTGTATTGAACGATGTGTTGCTTGTTTCTTGGCTGTGCCCAGGCAAAAGTAGGAAACGTAGCAAAAATGTTCCCAGAAGGTCTATTGTTGACTCCTAGCACGTGCTACCAGCAATGACAGTAAAGCCATCCATTTGGCAGAACTGGGAAGCACATATCCCTTCAATACTTACTTCCAGACAAATTCACGGACAGCACAGTAAATTGCAAATACACAAATGTGATTAATTCTTTGGCAAAGTTATTACAGGAAGGGGGGAGCATTCAACCAAACACTGTACTTTCGCACTTTTGTGTTTAAAATCCTCCAAGCATACAGAACCACAATTCTATTCATGGGAACCTAGTAATTGTTACATATTCCATCAGTGTGCACCACAAAGTGTATGAGGCCATGAATGAAGAAAATAAACTTCCTGTTACAATCTCAAGGCTTATTCCCACATTAATAAAAGTTTCCTTCTAATCTGCTGTGCCATCAAAATGCACCAAAGTGATTCTTTAGTTGCACCATAACAGATCCAAAAAGCTTAGTGACAGCATGCTAAATCAAGAACTTGAACTCTGATGGACCATACTAATTCAAAAGTCACCTTCTTCATAGATATTTTTAAGCTATAGCTACCAGTGTAAAAAAAAAGTTTCACATAACTAGAATGACCTCCCAAAAGGATCAAATTTCCAAATAAAAATCCCAGTTTCAATATAATATGAACTTAATTCCCTTGGCAGAAATGGGGCAAAAAAGGTTTATTAATTTTCTTGCATGCATGTAATATAGAGATCATTCCAGTTTATCTCTGCCCTGTATTGCCAGTATTTTTTTAAATGGTCCTAATTATTTGCCTTAGTAGCAGATTAGTAATTAAACCAGGATTGTATTTTTCTGGGTTTTGTTAATCATGCAAAATATACCCTACAACAGAAAGTATTTCCACTCTCCCTAGTACTGAATGATTTCTTTACATGAATAAGTATTGCATTACACACACACACACACACACACTTACTTTTACTGTGTCCAAAGGATGTCCCACAATTACACCTGCAGCTCCTGTAAGTTAAAATAATAATTAAAGAGTTTCATTAAAAAGAAAGCAACAACAAAGCAACATTTTTTCTACTGACTCCCAACATTGGTGTCACTTGAATCAATCACAATTCCCCCTTGTTCAGCTCCCACTGGAGGAGTTATGCGAACCATGAAAACAATGGGAACATAGACAGCCGCTAGAGAAGTCCATAGGAGCCCCTGCAGGTCAGCACAAAGCACTATTTTTTATCCAAGTTCTAAGGAGTAGGAAGGAAGCAGGAGTTGCTGTTATTGGGGAACACGTGGTTTTTAAGGCCCATTCTTAGGGAACATGTGTGAGTTTGTTCCTTCCTCCTATGTTGTCTCTATGATTCTGTTTATCAGAAATGTACGGAGTTTTCTTTTGTTTTTTATTCCAAAGGGCTCAATAACACTTACAGTGTCTATATTCCAGATTCAGATACTTTGCCACAAAGCATTACTTTAAGAAGGCACTGCAATCCTATTTTTCAAAATGATTTGAACATTAAACAAAATGGTCTAATTAGATGCTGACTTCAATTACCCAAGCTTAGAACAAAGGGGAAGATTATTTTCATTGATGCTTTCTTCCCCTTATGACATTCTTCGCCATCTCTAGTGCTCATTTGGAGAGCCACTTCAGTTATCAGGGGCAAATGGAAAATTTTAACTCTAATCCACTTGCAGGAAGGTTCCCTAAGTGAAATTCCATTAAAGGGACTGCTTGATTTAACTCATTATTCTTTACATTTTCTTTTCTTGGATTCTTGATTCGGGTAATTTGCTGGATAGTGTTTAATCTTTAAGTAAGCCTTAGAAATGATTACCTATAGTTTTAAAAAATTTGAACTTGTTCCTTTAATTTTTCTTAATATGATCCATAATGGCCACTTAATGTATTGCCTTTTTAGTACGAGTACATAGTATGCTTATGATATAAAGGAGACACATTTCTCTAATTCTATGTGTGCTGCAAAAGGAGAGGTTTATTTCTGGCTATATGAGTAAATGACATTTGCTGTTAATAACTCATCAGTACAACTGTTGCTATCTGTACTAGAAAGGTGACAGGTCACTTACATTTTCCATAGCATTAATTCCATAGCATTTTATAGCTTGACGGTGTATAACATCTGAGGAGTTGCCAGACATTTAAGAGATGTGATCTGTCTAGATTGACAGCCAGGAAATGTGTTTTTTTTTAGTGCAACGTTGAGAAAGTGCTGAGCCTTGGGATTTTTCAAATGAGTACCTGACAGTTCAAAAACTACAGAAACCAAACACTTATGCAAACTGTAACAATGGAAGTTAATGTGGAGTTTTCTTACAGTATATTTTCTTTATAACCTGACACAGGTTTTTTACCATAGAAGAGAATATATGTAGTTCAGGGCTGAACTGTGGATCCTTGGTGCTCTCTGAGCTTGGTTGTTTGCTGGCAGACGTTTCATTACCTGACTAGGTGCTAGTGAGTGTGCTAGTGATCAGTGCTAGTGAGTGTGGGGTTTGCTCCCTGTTTATGTACAGTAGCTTGCCCTGCCAGTGTTGGTGGGGGTGTGAGTTTCACCTTGGTAGTTCCTTCATTAGGGTCTTGTTTTCTGCTTGATTGTTTGTCTGGTGTTAATTCCTGCTTATCTGGGTGTTAGCTGCTGGAGGGGATGTGTTCTGGTCTTTTTGTTTCCTTCTTGGCTTTTTCTTGTCTCTTTTGAATGGTGTATAAATATGATTTATTTCTATGTGTCTACTGATGGCTGCAGTTTTTGTTTTTTTTAAAAATTTTGGGTTGGTTGGTTTGTTTGAGTGGCTTCTTGGGACATTACAAATTTTTATACTTTCATCTTTTAGATGACAGTGTCAAGTGGTAGTCAGTCATGATCTTAAATCAGAGTCCATTTGACACTGATTTGACATTAATGGCTTATCCATACTGCCCCATAGCCAGAACAGGCCAACAAAAATTTTCAGAGAGCAGGAACAGATGACATTACTCTGAACTCATGCCCCTCCCACTGCAGATGTGACCTTTGGGCACATTTTCCTGCTGTGGTTTTAGACTACTCTTTTCCCCTTAAGTCTCCTGGGGCAAACCTTTCAGTTTTGGCTATTGTGCTTTATTCATTACAGGCTAACCCCACCAATTCACTGACTATTTGGCCGAGGCAGGAATGCCCTCTCAGTTAACTCAATGGTTACCATAATCTCTAATGTCTTCTAGAGCTACTTGAATCAATGATGCTATAACAACACGATGATTATGGCACTTGCCTTGTAAATTGAAGGTTGCTGGTTTGAAACAGTGGATTATTTTTTACTTAACTATTTTTCTTTCCTTGATGTATCTGCTTTTGACTATTTTATTTTAAAATCCAGCAGTACATTGTTTCATCATTTGTACAGTCTCTTGTGTCTCCAGACTCTCAAAGTGAAAGGGTTTCATCCCCTTATATTTCAAGTAACTGGAGAAATGATGAAATGGTACACCATCTGATTATTTTAAAAAATCCCAGGGAAATGTTTATAGCTCAGGGAAAGAAAAATAGTACACAAACATTTTTCTATTGGGCTTCAAACTAGCAACCTATTATTCACAAGAGAAGTGTCATAACCACTGTATTACTGTAGTGTTACTGGTAAACAAGCTCTAGAAGATACTAGAAACCAGTACAATAGTAAGAAATATCTTTTCTTTTAAACCTGGTTGTTATGCCTGCATATATATGTATTTTAAAATTGTGTGTATGTGCATGTATATATAGACACACATACACACAAAAGTATATACTGTACATCCATTAAGTCCCACCCACAGGAAGGAAAGCAATTGGTCATTTCTTTCCTGGAACAGAAAAGGAGGAGGGCACAGTGGCAGGGAAATTATCCAGTGGGAGGGCATGGTAACCTGCTGTCTGGACTGATTACCTTGTAAGCTGTTGCCAAAGTATCTCAGTCTAGACAGGATTTTCTTAAAGCATCTTAGAGTTAAACCAGCATGAATGCAGGTCAGGAGCAGGTGGAGACTGCTGTGTGTAATCTGGCTTGAGTTAGAAAATGCAAACATCATTTTCTTTCCCCTCCCAGCAGTTAATAATACACTACTTTGCTAATTATAACTCCATCATTTTGGGAATCTTGAGATCTAGCAATCTTTATAGGACCTAATGGCATTTGTATGATAAACAGTTCAGTACATGAAATTAGGCTTCTTAACAAATGCAATGCAATCTTAAATCCATTGGAGTTGGCTATAACAAATTTAAATAAATAAATAAATAAATAAATAAATAAATAAATAAATAATCATGCATGCATGTTGGGATGGACCAGTTATAATACTTGAACATAGGTAAAGGAAAAAAAGAAAGTCTAAACTCATAACTGTTTATCATGATCTTCCATGTTTCCCTTGACCTTTGAGTGATGGAAAAAGGCAGAGAGTTTGCATAATAAATGATAACCACCACTACTCAAATTAAAGCAAAAGAGCCTCTGAATCTTTTTCCCATATTTGTATATGGAACATTTGCTTAATGAATAGAAAAAGCAAAAAAATAGAAACTATTCATTTGCTAAGAATATTGCCACTCCAGATTCCTCTCCCAATTATCTTCTACACTCACTGCAGTCAAACCTAAGTACGTTCTGACAATTTCTTCTAGAAATCCTACACCAATTTCAACAAAAGGCAAGTTGCAAAAATTCACAACCAAAGGCAGCTGGCAATTTATAAGAAATTGTCTTACAGTGACTGTTAAAGAAGGAATTACAACGCTTGCTATCATAAGGCAACAAGCCACCTGATCATGAAGAAAGGTCCTGAGATCTAATGCTTCTTCAGTGATTCAGGACAGGACAAAATACTGAACATCTAATCAAGGACAGAGACCTTATAAGTCTGAAAGTGTATATTTCCTGTTCTTCTTTGGAACCTGATTTTCGTGTCTTAGGTTCTTATGATACAAAAGAAAAAGAAGCATGAACCAGTTGTACTTTCTCTTTTCTATTTCTTTCTTCATGCAAAAAATGAACCCATGAGCAAAAGATACACTGTCAACTTTCATAATTTGGGAAAGGAAATGTGTCATGACCTTTCACCTATAGCAGACATGACATTGTCAGCCGAGGTGGGTAAGGTCAACAAACAGTCACAAGAGGGATTCCAGGAATGCTCTTTATTGTAGTAGGATAGAATAACAGATGCTTGAAAGCCTCTTCAAGTTTCTCTCTGCCCCATCTTATACTGAACATGATCAAGGAGCAGTTATTTTTGTCTTTCTCATGCTTCACTCTTTCTGAAAAATCTTTTCTGAAAGCTCTCTCTGAATGGCTCATTCAGTCCTTCCCAATACCCAGGTCAGATCTACATCCCTTCACAGGCATCCACCAAAAAGGCAAGAGGGAAGGTAAACGATGACCCATGTGTTGTGGTATCATGAGGCAAACTCTGCCCCAACTGGGTAAGGGGTGGCGCTTGTGTCATGACATCATGACACGTCTTGTCATTTCAATGAAATCTTGGCTTGCTTGCAGATGCCGTGGGACATAATCACAGAAAGCTACTAAATGACAAGAGAGCTTTCCCAGTGGAAGTGGGAAATGCCTTCCACAAAGGAGTTGGCCTGGAACCTCTGCTACTCTCTTTGCAGTGTATGTGCATTAAAGGGAGAAATGATGTTCTGATGCCTAGTTTTCTTTAAGTGCTTTCTGCCATTTTACTTCTGTGAAGTTGTCTATTAGGCATATATTACATCATTAAATTATTGTACCACATTATGAAATCTAAATAGATGAATACCAATGTTGCTGTATGTATGTTATGCATTGTATAGTTAATATATATTAGAAAATGTTTTGTAGGGTGAATGTCCTGAGCTTGAGCCAGGAAGACCAGGTTCAAGTCTCATTCAGCTACAGAGCTCACTGAGGGATTTTAGACCATTCACTCTTTCTCAGCCCAGTCTACCTCGGAGGTTGTTATAGGGTAAAGTTGGCAGGACTACCATGTAGGTTGCCTTGAGTTCTCAGAGAACAGGTAGGATATAAAATAGATTAGAGGATCATAAGGTTGGTTTTATTACTTTGAACATTATATTGCTCATAAGTAAAAGTAGAAATCTTAGGAACATGAAATTTGGTTCACATGAAGTGCTCAAGCACTGCTAGAGGTATTTCAAATTTGGTAAAACTACATGAAATTTAGACAAAATAGGGCAGCAAACAAAATTATATGTAACCTGGATTGGAGAAGGAATTCTGACTGGCAACTGAATTTAGAAAAAGGAAACAGATGTACACTTAGACTTTTCACCATTTAAACTAGTTTGAGATATTTAAAGTAGTTTTCAGTCACATGCTGGTTTAAAAGTCAGAAATTGACCACTGGAGAATTGTTCTTTTACTGGACCCCACGTGATTTTGCAGTACATGGGAAGAATGTCTGACATCTCAGGATCAATTTGCATTTACCTCAGACTTTCCAGATTTTGCCACAAGGGTATTTGAATAGTCCAACTTTTGCCATGAGCTTCTAGCTAGGGACTTAGAACAGGTCACTGTGAGTCTTACATTGATCATTACAATTGCACTGATAAGATCTTAGTGTCAGACTTTACAGAGAAAGAACATAAATTTTTACTTTCCAATATTAATTTAAACAGCAAAGGATAACCAGTGACACCAAGCACGTTACTACAGGATGGAATAATTCCCAGGTGAAAAGATTAAGAGGGAATCAAATGGACATGACTATATATTTTTCTATGTTAACTTGATTCAAGCACATGTATTAATAATTTTCCCTCCCTCCAGAGTTATTTTATTCAGGGAGCAAGTAATGGAAGCCATGCAGAGACATATTAATCATGTCACCATATACAGGTAGTCCCCAGTTTAAGAATGAGTTCCTTAAGTTGAATTTGTGTGTAAGCCAGAACAGTATTATTGTATAATATTGTATAAGTAGTATTGTGTAATGAACTCAA